ATTCAGGGAAGGAAGCACACAGGCCCAAAGGCACGGAATTACGCAACAGACATTACATCTAGAAAAATGTAAGAGTTCTGCTTGACAGAATTGTGACAATTCCTATTGACCAAATTCACACACAGAGTCAAGCCTGGATCCAGATATTTACTATATCATGTCTCTTATGCCTTACCACAATCTTGTAAGATAGATACTTTTTCCCTCTTTTACCTCTGAGGAGAGTGAAGCTCAGAGAGGTTAGGTGACCTAACTACATTTACAGAAGCAGGGGAGTGACCTGAATGCCGGTCTGCTAACTCTATGCACTTCTTATGATTGCAGGGTGTGGGGAGGACAGAGAGAGAAGGAAGCAGTTGAGCAGTTTCTCAAAGAGCTTTTTTTACTGGGACCCACAGTAAGAAATGAAATGTGTTATGACCAAGTCATATAACTATTAATATACTATTATATATTAATATAAGATAGAATTTTCTAATGTTCATCAAGATCCAGTTTTTCTATCCCTCCAGGCACAATGGAGGATTACACTTCTCTGCCTCCTTATGATTAGGCAATCATATGACTAGTTAGACCCTTACTCTATACCATATATGAATCAAAGACCTAAATGTGGGGCACCTGGGTGGCTCAGCCCGTAAAGCATCTGGCTCTTGGTTTGGGCTGGTTCAGATCATGATCTCAGGGTTGTGAGATGGAGCCCTGCATTGGGCTCTGTGTTCAGTGTGGATTCTGCTTAAGATTCTCTCTCTCCCTCTGCCTCTGCTCCTCCCCCTGCTTGTGTGTACTCTCTCTCTCAAAATAAATAAAATCTTAAAAGAAAAGATATAAGGTTATCCTTATGGAAACATCCCATTCACCCCTGGCATTCTGACATGCTTTCTTGAGGGGTGTGTGTGTGTGTGTGTGTTGAATATGGGAGACAATTCAGGGTATGTACATATCAAATATGGACAGCATCTGTTATATGTGCTGAGGTAGGAACAAAAGGCTATGAATCATGCAGCTATACCGAGAGAGGCCAGAGATAGGGCTGACTTCATAACATCTGAAAATCAGTTCACACTTAGCAGAGGGAACACTTAAATGCAAGGAAGCCCAGGTCTCATTGGACATGCACAACTTAATCATGCACACAGGCTGATGGTGGTAGGCATTACCTTGTAGTCTCACACAGCATTTTCTCAGACCCCCGTGTGTCCCTAGGCCTGGCTGTCAAGCCAGTCTAACACTGCTGGGAGAGGTTACGTTATAGGATAATACATGTTGCATGAACCTGTTTTTGGATGTGTTTACCTATGTGTCCCAAAAGGTCTGGAACAATATATACCAAATTGGTCCTAGGAGTTATTCTTGGGGAATGAGATTGGGAGAGAAGGGGTATGAGGATGAGAGCTTCTTTTTTGGAGGGAAATACACTTCTGTATTTGGATTTGTTATTTACAATGGGCATGTGTTAATTTTGTACTTCAAAACATAAATTTAAAAGGGCCTGTGAGGGGTTGAAACACACCTCACATTCTACCCCCAACTCTCCAAATTATACTTTACTCAAGGGAACAGAACCTAGAAACATGTGTGGCACTTTCTGGCATCCAAAAAAACACCTGTTGAATGAATAAAGAAAGAGCCTAGAGGAGACATTGAAAGAAACTTTGGCCTTAAGCTCTGCCCTCCACACAGTAGGAGTTGAGTTTCTTCCTTTCCTTTTGATTTCATCTTTTCTACTTTTTTCCCTCCTCCTCTTTTTCCTCTTCCCCATATTCTTCCTCTTCAAACAAACCAACAAACCACAAAGAAACCCCACACAGCAGCAACAACAGCACAGTGTGACAAAGGAGTTTTACCATGCCATCCTCTAGTAGTACTACAGAAACACACAAGTACATGAAAGGAGTGGGTAGGAAAATACGATTTCATACACACAATGGGGCATTAGGGGATGACTTTAAGTTGAAAAGTAGAGTCACCCAGTCCAAGGCAGAGAAGTAGGAGATAGGGGAGAAAAAGGAAGGAACTGGGCAAGAAAAACATGGTGTTATGACTGGGGGAACACAGAGCTCAGAGTCTCCCCAGGCTGCCACTCTCTTCTCTACTCAAAGTCAGCTTGCTTAGTTCGTCACTGAAAAGTGACCAGACTCTGGGGAGACCAATAGCCAAAGACAGAATGGTTTATAAGACTGACTAACAACCTACCATGAGAAGTATGTTTACCAAGAATACTTGTGTCAGCCAAGCAATGTAGCCTCTTCCCATAAAGGAAAGCCTTCTGGGATTAGGGGGCTGCTTGGAGAACAGGGGCTTCAATGCAGATGGATTTGGGGGCTATGAAGTGACATTTTCTCCAAACTGTGGAAGTCTGGAATGTCACTGGTGGGCTCCCAGGAGAGTGTGACCAGGGTGATGGACGGGATGTGGTAGCTGCTCAGGGCCCCCCCTTTCTGCAGCTCTGGAAATGCATTAGAAAACTCTCCCTTGGGCTGCCTGTGTGGCTCAGTCTGTTAAGTGTCTGACTCTTGATTTCAGCTCAGGTCATGATCGTGGGGTCATGAGATCTAGCGCCCGTCGGGCCTGTGTCTGGCTCCATACTCATCAAGGAGTCTACTTTTCTCCTTCACCCTCTCCCTTGGCCCCTCCCCCTGCTTATGGGCGCACATGGGTGCGCATGTGCGCGCGCGCGCGCGCACGCGCGCGCGCGCTCTCTCTCTCTCTCTCTCTCTCTCTCTCTCTCTCGCAAATCAAACAAGCAAGCAAACAATCTTTAAAAAAAGAAAAGAAAATTCTCCCTTGCCTAGCCCCCCTTCTAGCTACTGTGTTTATACCTCCCTACCCCATCTTGACCACATTTATGATCTTGCCCCTCCACCTGCTTTACACTAAAGTTATTTCCAGTGTGCTGGTTCCTGATTGCTCTAGGTAAGCAGGCTGTAGTTGCTTGTCTGCCAGACCAGGGAGAGGCACAGAACTGCTGACAGCAGTTAAGAGCACCACCCTAGAGTCAGACATGCTCCATTACTAACTAACTGTGTGGCCTTGGGAACCTCTCTGTGCCTCACTGTCTGGAAGAACACAGAGATGTGACATCCAGTAAGGAGGACTTGCTGGCCCAGCTGATGGCCTCTAGTTTTCAGATACTTCAGCATTCGGCTAAGCTACAGAGAGACCCTGTGCTCAAGGTCACAGCCTTCCCACGTGGCCTACATATAATGAATGATTGAGGCAGGGCGATAAAGGTCTGGCCATTTCAGCCCAGTGTGGGACAATTGACCATCTATTTTGGCTTCGGATTACCCATGTGATTAGTTGACACTGTTGTCAGGTACACACTGCAGCTCAACTTCTCCCACTTTTCCCTATGGTTGTCAATTCCCAGGGACACTCCCTAGTAAATATCCTGCACACTAAACTCTTAGAGTCCGCTTCTTGGAGAACCTAACCTACAACGATTGATGCTAGGAGTGATCCAAGAAAGCAGGCAATAAAAGGATGTTTAGAAGCAAGGTCTCTAAACACACAGGTGGAGATGAAGATCTGGTGGTCCAATTGTTAAATATATTATCATTGGTGAATAGGGATAGTATGCTGGCAGAAGGGACCATACTAGCTGGTGGGATGTATCAGATAAAATAGAGGGGCCAGAGTAACCATAAGAATAGTGAAATTGGGTCACTGTGACTGACAGCCAAGTGTGAAAGCCAGAGGGCCCCTTAATGGCATATGAAGAGAGCTTCATCCACCTATAGTGGGAGGGTAGGGAAAGCTGAGGCCCAGGATAATCATCAGAATAGTCTAAGATACAATGATGTTAAACTCCCAAGCAAGGGAAGCTGGCTAAAGACCCTAGTTGGGAAATAATGGGAACATGACATGTGGGATGGAGATATCTGATTGGTGCCCCTGAAGATCTTGAACTCCCAGATTCTCCTAAACCCTGAATGTGCAGAAATGGCCCATCATCCAGTGCTTCCCTCTCATTTGTAGACAATGCAGAAGACTAGACCCTGTAAGACTGCATGTACCCTTCTCAAAGTCTGCTCTTACCTCCCTCCTGGATACTAGGCTGATAACCAGGGTTAGAACACTACATAACCCAGTGAGGGACGTATTGGGCCTCATAAGGGAGGGACTCATTAAGGAACTATCTCCCAAAGGAGCTGCAAGAACTAGCCACACATAAAATGGCAGGAGCTGGGTGAGTAGCAAGGGACTGGATTGTGCAGGTGCTTGATCAAGAGGAACAGATCATAAAATTGGGTAAGGGAGAATTTATTGATTTGGAAGCATTCTCCTGAGATACAGCATTTATCACTCTGCCAAGGACTCAGGAAATGGTGCAAATTTGCTACCAGAATGGCTCTTAGAAGCATGAAAAACTACAACCCACACAAAGGGGAAAAAATCAGAATTGCTAAGACAGATAGTGTAGGAACAGATTTAAAACTCAGGGAAGCACAATGAAGTAGATGTACTATAGGAAGACTGGAAATCCCACTGAATGATTATGTTCCATGGGAAGATCAAGAGGATACTCCACTTATCAAGGCCATAGGGAATGAGATGGTAAAGAGGAGTACTAGCATCAATGAAATTTCACTACATGCTAAAAAGGCAGGCCAGGACTGACAGTAGGAGAGACCATTACGAAACATTTTGGCTCACAACAGTAATGGGGTGATAGAACTTGAAACAAGAGGCCAGGTGGCAGCACTTAACTACCAAAAGCCAGGTGGATACAGTTATTCTAATAGCAGAAAGGGCAGAGTGACAGCCAGGGAGGCCTGAACCTCAGAGACTTATGGAGATGGTTAACAGAATACAGCATCTCCAAGAGCTAACAGGGCTAATCCTCAATTTTCAATCAGAAGAAATCAAGGTTGGGTGATCAAGGGCCTGAAGGCAGTTGCCCCAATAAAAAGTGACATCTTTCTCCCACCTTTGGATCTGAGCCAGTTTTCAGACCCTGAACTCATTAATTAAGAAAAGCTCCAGTGTTGGTCTTCTTCCTGCCTTCTGCGTTTTTGCTTTCAGAGCTGCCGATAGCAAGATGTCTTCGGGAAATGCCAAAATTGGGCATCCTGCCCCCAACTTCAAAGCCACGGCTGTTATGCCAGATGGCCAGTTCAAAGATCTCAGCCTATCTGACTACAAAGGAAAATACATTGTGTTCTTCTTTTACCCTCTTGACTTTACCTTTGTGTGCCCCACGGAGATCATTGCTTTCAGTGACAGGGCAGAAGAATTTAAGAAACTCAACTGTCAAGTGATTGGTGCTTCTGTGGATTCTCATTTCTGTCACCTGGCATGGATCAACACAAGAAACAAGGAGGACTGGGACCCATGAATATTCCCTTGGTATCAGACCCCAAACGTACCATTGCTCAGGACTATGGAGTCTTAAAGGCTGATGAAGGCATCTCCTTCAGGGGCCTCTTTATCATTGATGATAAAGGTATCCTTAGGCAGATCACGGTAAATGACCTTCCTGT